TATTTGCCTGAATCAATAATGCTAATTTCTCGTTTCATATTCTTTTCTGCCAATCGCCGCCTCGCCCGTGCTCCCAATCTACTTCAAAGGTCACACTCTAATTTTGCTTTGGTTTTTGGTTTTGTTTTGCTGTTTTAATAAATGGGTTTTCATTATAACATTGGATATGCAAAAAAAAGAAAAAAGTTATGATCTTTATGCTTTTAAGTTTGTTTTTGACATTCTTGAGTCGTGGTGCTTCCATGGTATGCAATTTTTTGTTTAGTTGAATGTTAGGTTAAATTAATATTAGTGCCAAGATTGTGACTTTTTGAATGGTTTTGATGCTAGAATTGGTCTTCAATGAATCTTTTTGTACATTATATGTATTTTGATTATGAATGGTGATTTGGGTTTTTGTTGTAATTACCTAATGAACATGTTTTCCTCATATGTGAAGCATTGAGTGTATAATTTTAGTACAATAAATGGGTTTTCATTTATGACATTGGATATGAAAAAAAAAAAAAAGTTATGATCTTTATGCTTTTAAGTTTTTTTTTTTTTTTTAAAATATATTCTTGAGTCGTGGTGCATCCATGATATGCAATTTTTTATTCAGTTGAATGTTAGTTTAAATTAATATTAGTGCCAAGATTGTGACATTTTGAATGTTTTTGAGGCTGGGATTGTTCTTCAATGAATCTTTTGGTACATTATATTTATTTTGATTATGAATGGTGATTTGGTTTTTTGTTGTAATTACCAAATGTACATGTTTTCCTCATTTGTGAAGCTTTGAGTGTATAATTTTAGTCTTGTATACGGTATGAAGCTTTTTTTTTTTTTTAGTGTAATTGCCAAAGTTGTAGGTTCTAATGTTTATATGGATGTGTAGGTTTGGTCCATCTAAGAGAATCCAATCTTGTGGCTATGTGAAATCAGCAAAGAACAATTACAAAAAGCCAACCAGTCATCCTGTTATGAATGTAGAAACACAGTCTTCACGCTCGTGGAGTGCTTATGTTATTGTATGCTGCCTTAGCCTTTCTGTGTTTGCTTGTTGATATGTACCTTTCCTTTTTTAATTGTTACAAATGAACTTTGTGTTAGATAGTAGGAACATGTTGCCTAATAGTTACTTTTGTCCTTATTTTTTCAGCCAGCTGCTTTACTAGGATTTGGTGGATTGGTAGCTTTTTTACATTATAATGATGAGAGAAGAGCAATTAAGAAAGGTACTTGTTTATCTTTACTGTTGTCAAATAAGTGTCCAGATGTTGGAGTCTTTGCGGTTATTGACCAGGACTTGGAAACTAGGTTGTTTGGATATGTATGGTCTCTCCATTTTCGATTATGTACTGAAGTTTATTTGTTTATTGTTGATATTTTTCTAAGTGAAAAAATGAGATGAGACAAGCAATGATTCTCTTGAGCTAATGGTTGGCTGATCATGAGTGTCATATATATGGTTCATATTTAATTACCTACAAGTAGCTAATTTCAGTAACTTCCTGTGCATTTGTGCTCAGATACATTGCTGGAAATTGTTGGGAAGCTTTTTCCAATCAGTTTTGATTCAACTTATTTATGTTTCTTATTTTGCTTCTTTGATTATGCTTGTGCCTAAATGCCCTAAGTTATTGTCATATTGCTGTGTATGGAGTACCATATATACTATCTCCCTCAAAAAGGCCCAAAAGGAGGTCTTCTAACAGCCCATATGGCATTTGTTGCTTTATTACCACTTTCTTAAATGGGTTGGAGTTAGGGAAGGTTGACTAAAGTGGAGGCTAAGTTGAACCAAATTGCAGTCATTGCTAGACCATTTGACACTCTGATAAACTTTCATCATTAGAGTTTCTTGTGGTAGGATTGAAGTTGATGCTGCAACCATGCTTGTTCCAGCGCTTCATTTGATGAATGCTATTTCTTTATGTTGTTTTTTTTGCATGACTAGCAAGTAGAAGGAATTTCATGGTAAGAAAATTCTTGAGTGTAGCTCTTCCATTTTGTTTGCCTCACTGCAGCTTCTTGTTTGTGGCCATACATGTTGGTGAATAGTGTTGAAGAAATATCCAGTTGTGGGATACCTTAATCTGTTTATAAGAATGAATTAGAGGTCGAAGGTTATGGAAACCTTTAGGGAGCGTTTGGTTTGCGGAATCTTGGATTTCGGGGGAAAGTGTGATACTTGGGAAAGTTTGATACCTGGAGTTTTGTTTGATTTTCAGGACATCCTGTAATCAGATTCACTCGTTTGGTTGAGAGAAATCTCTGTTTATTAGTTCATGTATAATTATCATAATCTTCTTAACAAGTGGTAGGCAACTTTTCATTTTGTTTTAATAAAAAATACCCAAGCGACAAATGATGCCTTTTGCAGTGAAAGAAAAGAAAGATTTTAATTTTTTTTACTTAAATATGCCCAATTACGATGTTTAACTAGACATCAAGCCGTAATTGCCGTATTAAAATATAAAAAAAAATCAATTATGTTGTTTGGAAGAGCTGAACACCTTACTTGTTTTTGTAAATATGTTGGAAAAAGCATCAAATAAGGTGTTTATTCAAAGTAAATACCTTATTTGAATTTGTAAAGATTCTGGAAGATCGTCTATCAAATAAGGCGTTTGTAAAATGGAAATGCTTTATTTGAATGGGCTTTGTAAATATGTTGGAAAAAGCATAAAATAAGGCGTTTGTAAAATGAAACGCCTTATTTGATGCTTTTGTAAAGATTTTAGAAGATCATCTATCAAATAAGGTGTTTGTAAAAGGAAACGCCTTATTTGAATGGATCAAATAAGGCGTTTGTTCAAAGAAACGCCTTATTTGATGCTTTTGTGGCAATTAAGGCTTTTCAAAAGCAAATATTCCAGAATCTGGAAATATGCATGGATAACATAGAAATATTCCCATAAAACTGGGGCATATGAGGGTTTTTATTAAAACAAATTTATGTGTGTTAATATAACTGTATGTGTTTAAATATAACTTTTTTTTTTTTTTTTGTGAAAGTAATAGTTCATTTTGGCACTGTTACTGTGCCATGCAAGGCAGCAAGAGGTAATTCACGCCTAGAAGGATGTTGGTAGGTGTTAAAAGCAACATATTAAGATAATGAGTATAGTTGTTAAAAGCTACATCAAATTTCAATGGTTTGGGAATGTTTTGGAGAAGAGAATGAAAGAAGAGTGGACATAGGATTATTATATTGGACAGAAGGCTTTTACCACTTATTAAGTACTTGAAGTGGTTCTTCTGTCAAAATCCAAAATACTTCTTTGATTGCATCAACCTGAGGTTTAATGATCCATGAAAAATTTGTTTGTATATTAATGTGTTTTTATGGTGTTTTTTTTTCCAATTGCCAAGGAAGAAAGGACTCTTTGATAAACATGACTAATTAGATCTTTGACGTGTCTTCTTCTCATTTATGTTGAGCAGGCCAGGGCAACAATCGTGGTTATGGTGCTGTGGCAGCTCCAATTATCGGTGGCCCATTCACTTTGGTCAATACAGAAAATCAGATTGTTAATGAACAGGACTTTCTTGGGAACTGGGTTCTCCTCTACTTTGGCTATACATCATCTCCTGATATTGGACCTGATCAAGCACAAATGATGGCCGAGGCTATAGATACATTAGGTATAACCCCTTAACCAGATTCGATTATATTTAACTATTTGTCTGGTAATATTCCTGACATTTTGTGTTTTATTTGGAGCAAGAGTCAAAAGAGAATTTGAAGGTTTTACCAGTATTTGTGACAATTGATCCTCAGCGTGATACTCCTGCACAACTCCGTGCTTACCTCAAAGGTTTGTATGCCCTTGTAACGGAATATGTGACGGTAATAAGCTCCTTCTGCTTAAGTTGCAGGTATTTTGGCTAATGTATTCTCCAATTTTTTTTTAAGTGCAGAATTCGATCCAAGAATAGTGGGATTGACAGGACCTGTTAGTGCTGTAAGGCAAATGGCACAAGAATATCGTGTTTTCTTCAGGAAGGTTGAAGAAGAAGGAGACGATTATCTTGTCGAGTCTTCTCACAACATGTATGTTCCAAACACTGACACAGACATCCCTTTTTCTCAAATTTCATTTTTATTTGGGAGCTTGATGCAAGTTATTTTCAAATGATTAGGTATTTGCTAGACCCAAAAATGAAGGTTGTAAGATTCTTTGGACTAGAGTACAATGCTGAGGAACTGTCAAAAGAAATATTGAAGGAACTGAAGAAACACCAACCTAAAGCTGAGTAGCATGGCTATGCTGCTTGCTGTTGTGCTGGGGGTAATAATGTATATCAGACATTTTGGACAAGGTAGAGACAACTGAAACCAACCACATTGTCTAAGTGGCAAAAATAAAAGGAAGAAACTTTTCCATTCTCATTCTTTGGGGATCCATTTTCTCCCAATTTTCTTGTAGGACAATTCAACTGTTACAGATGCAGTTCATTAACTTGACAGGAGGGATTGAATTTCGAGATGGATAAGTTGGATGACGTTTAATTTTATTCTCTGAATATTTCTTATATGTGAAGCACAAAGCAACTATCTGTTCGCATATTTGTTTCTGGAATGACAAAACCGAGCTGCAGGTTATACAGCCTGATCCAAACTTCTACATCTTGGTTTTGCACCTTTATCAGGGCAATATTGCTTGTCTGGGCTGCCTCTGAAATGCTGGTTTTTGGGCCATCAAACAAGGTCTCTTCATGTTGTCTGGGCTATATCACTTACCATATATTCATTTAGCAAAGGCATTTGACAACTTCTAAACTGATTACAAGTCTAGAAACTCCATTGTTGGAGTATCTTTAAACGTGTTGGCCTATTTCTCAGGATGAATATTAAAAATCAAGTGGATAAAAGATGAAAGGGGCTTATATCTCATGTTATATTAATTAAGGCACTAACAGACTTACGTGCCTTCCTCTTTGTTTTCTCTTAATTTGTTCATGAATGAGGCTGTGCTGGCTTAGTACAGCTAAATCTTCAAAAATCCCAAATTTAGGGTGCATGATTCTTTCTAAAATTCTAGAGATCCTCGTTTAATCTTGGACCGGGTCTCTAGCTTGTCTATTTACGTCATCATACAAGATAAACAAAAGCAAGGAAAAAAAGGGAAAAGGGGGGGAAAATGTTTCAACAACCTTGCATTTTTAATAAAAACAATACAACTGTAAATCATTATTCTCTTTTCCTGCAAACTTTGTTTTTTTTCCACTCTTAATTATGCCATTTCGTGTACCATCTTTTCAGCTACAAGAGAGGGAAAAGGTAGAGAATTTCTATTCTATCTTGGCAGCCACTCTTGGAAAAGGCCATGCATTGATCATCTCCTGGGATTAGGCCTGTTTTCAACCTCCACCCACGTCTTTCTCATTCTAGCCTCTCTTTTCTTTCCTTTTCTTTACTATTAACAAAGAAATGATATCTCATATATAGCCTTGTGTTATTTTAAATTCCAAATTCTAGAACACCCATTTTTTCTCTGCTTGTTTGCTTGAAAATGCAACATTCCTGATCTCTATAACCAAAAAAAAAAAAAACTGCATTCTAAAACAGAGAGCTGAGCAGGAAAATATGGGAGAAAATTCATCGGAAAAGAAACCAGGTTGTGGGATATTGAATGCAGTTTTTGGGAAGCGTAGTTTTTGGCCTAGAAGGTCTACTTCTACAGGTTCATTGCCTATCAACGACAACAACAATGTTAAAACAGCAAACTCAAAGAGGCGGCGGAGTGGTTCCGATGAGGCTTCCTTTTTTAACTCTTCGGTGAATGGACCAGAAGTACCAACAAAACCCTGCACGAAACCGCCTCCAAATCACCCTAAGCCACCTGTGGCACATCAACAACAAAACCAGTTTCGGAAACCTCCTGATCAAGTAGCCAGAACAACACCTAACCAAGGATATGTCAACCCTGGTAGAAGGGTGCCTAAAGAAGCCATTACTATCTCCGGTGAGCTCGAAAGCATGATTGTTGATCATCAAAAAACAAAAGGAAATTGCAATCTTGTTCGAGCCTCATCGAGTAATATGATGCTTTATGGCAATTTAGGCAACTTGAGGCAACCTGGAGGACGAGGAGGAAACATTAATTCATATAACGTTCTTGATCAACTCCCTAAGACTGCAAGAGAGGATGTGCCAACACCCAATGGGATATATCCCAACAGTGTAATGGGAAATGTGGTGAAGAAACCGGTCGAGGAAAGGCGTACGGAAGAACAGCCTGCTTCTCTATGCCGAGCTCTTTCTACAAGAATGGACCCTGAAACTTTGAAAATCATGGGAAATGAAGATTATAAGAATGGGAATTTTGCGGAAGCCTTGGCTTTATATGAAGCTGCCATCGCCATTGATTCAAATAAGGCTGCATACCGAAGCAACAAAAGTGCTGCCCTAGCAGCTTTAGGCAGGATTCTTGAGGCAGTTTTTGAATGCAGAGAAGCCATTCGAATTGAACCTCACTATCACAGAGCTCACCATAGATTGGCAAACTTATATCTCAGGTAAAAAAGAAAAAAAAAAAAAAACAGTTCCTTATGATTGGAAACAATCTCTATGCCCAACAGCATTTTCCAGTTAGCGCTTTGAACTGATATAATTGTACAGATTAGGGGAAGTGGAAAACGCAATATATCACTACAAGCATGCAGGCCTTGAGGCTGACCGTGAAGACATTGCTAAAGCTAAAACTCTTCAGGCACATTTAAACAAATGTACTAAAGCTAAAAGGCTAAGAGATTGGAACACCCTGGTCAAAGAAACAGATTCAACTATTAATGCCGGTGCAGATTCAGCCCTACAGGTACATAAATATTCAAACCAAACCAAGAAAAAAAAAAAACTCAAATCCCATCAAAATTCTGTTAGTGAACAATATTTAACTTGTTCATTTTTAATGTTAAGATATATGCATTGAAAGCCGAGGCCTTGTTGAAGCTCCACAGACACCAAGAGGCCGATGAAGCATTAATGAAAAGTCCATATTTCAATACTGATGACTGCACTAAATACTTCGGCCCTATTGGAAATGCGAATTTGCTAGTTGTTCGAGCTCAGGTGGACATGGCCGCCGGCAGGTTAGTGTTTTATATATTTTACTACTACTATTAAGTCATGCAGGAAGTACCATTTTAGGGAAAATGTAGACAAAAAGTATAGGGAGTTTGTGATCCCAAGCTTAATGAATGTTGTAAAACAACTCAAAAGGAGAATTCATGCTGGGAAAAGAGGAACCAAAAGGAGGTTAAAGGTTATAGGTGGAAAAATCTATCTTTACCTACCAAATGGGGCTAAATTTGCATCAAATGATTGGGTTTTGGGTTAATTGTTTTGTTTGTTATGATTGGACACATATTTCCACCCCCCCACTCCACCTTTTTTATTTCTTTATTCTTTTTCCACTCACTGTTTGACATTGAGTCGGTGATTTCTAGGTAATTAATTCAACTTTGACTATGTCTTCGCTTTATGCAGGTGATTTTTTTAGTGTTACTAACAGCTTGTTAAAGAAATTTCAAGGGGAAATATTATGAAATTTAGAGCAGTTGCTGCTTCAGTCTTGACTGTCTGAGCAATACAGTAATGGAAGGGCAAAATTAAAAGAAAATTGCTCGAGGAGATAGAAATCCAATACACTTTAAAAAAAAAATTCTATAAAAACTAAGGTTAATTGAGCTGAAACTAAAAACCCTCTGTCATAATTGCATGCCAGCTCATGTACCAGGCATTTCTGATGTTAATTATCAGCTTAAAATAGGATGTTCAGTTGAACCTTTGATTTATAGGTGGGGTTCACCTCAGCACCATTGGAGCAATACCAAAGTTTTGACTTGATCTATACAAAAACTAATGACAGCTACGAAATATATTTTTTTAATGTAAAATTTTTATAGTTTTTGAGTTTGATCTATCATCTTAAATAAAGTTATTGTAACAATACATAAAATTAAGGATCTTTCATATAATATTGTTAGGCAACTGATAATGTTTTCCTGATGATTGTCTAAAGATTTGATGATGCATTGGCTGCGATTCAGCGAGCTGTTAGGCTTGACTCGAACAACAAAGAAGCACACACTGTAATGAGGAAAGCTAGAGCTGTGGCAGCCGCTCGATCAAGTGGCAATGAGCATTTCAAGGCATCTAAATTCTCCGAAGCATGTGTTGCATACGGCGAGGGGCTTGATCATGACCCACACAACTCCGTCTTGTTGTGCAACCGAGCAGCTTGTTTGTCCAAGCTTGGCCACTACGGAAAGGCAATACAGGACTGCACCCATGCCCTTAACGTCCGCCCTGGTTACAGCAAAGCTAGACTGAGAAGAGCCGATTGCAATTCCAAGGTGAGTCTCAATATAATGACTTGCAACTGATTTCTACATGATGAATAGCTAATAGTAATATTGGTCACGATTGACAGCTTAATTATGGGTTCACATTAACTATCTTTTATATATGCTATCTTGTGTATGAATATAGAATTCTAATTGTTAATTAATTGATCATTGATAGAAATGTCCATGAAATAGATTGAACTAGTCTGAGTAATACCTTTAAGAAAACGTTTAAGTTGCTTTTAAAAAAATACTAATAGTAAAAGCCATAATTAATCGAATCCAAAATTTAACTTAATTCATGCATATACTCTTAAAAACATAACATTCAATCTATTTTTAGATTATGACATCTTTTATTGAATAAAAAGTCATGGTTAATCGATTGGAGTGAACTATGCATGTTTAGAAAAATACTTAGAGGTTAAGAAAAAAAAATCAAGCATGAGAATAATAAAATAGGGAAAATGATATTAGCTGAATTGAATTATTTATAACATGATCCTTAAATATTTGTGTTGCCTTTAGAGTATGTACAAGAATCTAATAATGTTCAATTGGGTATATGTAATAGTTGGGGAAATGGGAAGCTTCAATACAAGACTACGAGATCTTACAAAGAGAAACACCGGACAACGAGGAGGTGAAACAGGGCTTGACCGAGGCTCAAATGCAACTTAAGAAACAACATAGTGAGGTTGCATTGTAAGACGAGAAGAGTACGATGGAGCTTGATTAACACGAAAGGTAGACCCGACATGGAGAAAAAAGAGAACGAAGCTCAAAGGCAGCGACAAAAGACAGAGCAGACAAGAAATTAGGAAGAACTAGTTTCGTGATAGTGTTGCCTGTTGAGAGCAAATGCCAAGTTAAGAGCTTAAACGATTATCGAGGATGAAACACATTATGCTTTGTTATTATAAAGAATTTGAAAGCGAAATTTTGATATTGTTAGAACTATGTGACATTAATATTTGTTAACAATTTGATTATATGTCTGTATATTTTGCTAAAAGATTTACAAATTGATGTCGCATTTGAAAACTTCAACATTAGTTTCAGATTCTGTAGCCATTCACTCGAGCTAAATATTTGCAAAGATAATATCCATTTTTCTAAGTTTTTCTTTCTTTTTTTCCCCTTGCAAGACTTAATTTTTTTTTCACTATTTTAATGATATAAATTAATAAAAGTAATATGTATGCTTAATAGCATTTTTTCATTAAAAAAAGAAAACTTTTGTTAAAAATATTTAAAAATAAAGACCAAAAAAAAATCTTTATGCCAAAAAAAATCCAAAACGTATTGGCCCAAAATCAGTTTTATTGCCAAAAGCCCAAAATCCTGTTTTGGTTGAAATTGAGCATCACAGGAGGCATGCCATTTGATCCACAACTTATGGCATTTAAAATGAAGTATTGGAATCTGTATGTAATATATATATAAATCTGTCTTTTCTTTTGTAAGTGACTGAATTATGAAATACTTTAAAAATTTTCTGACATTCCCAATTTAATATCGAATTTTTTCACTAAAATAATCTCGCCCAATGATCATTGACTACTGCCACTACGAGTTTAGGTATAAACTTATAATGTTCTTTTGTGAGAATTAAATGCAGCCACGAGGCTTATGACAAGGTAAATGGCAACTGGCAACATACGTTCTAATTTCCACCGACAACATTAACACGGTAAATACAACATAATTTGATCCAAAATTTCCCATTACACGACAAACATTACATGACCAAACTGCCGCTGATCATACAAAACCATCGCCATCATTATAATAATAATTATTATTATATTAATAAAAACACAAGCCTTATCACATGCTAAAGCTAGACTTCCGATCACCCCGATCAACAGGGAACTCCGAGGGACAATAGTTCCTGACGGCAGTGAGCTCGTAGGGTGCGGCATCGAGCGCCAACCATTGTTCCACTGTGAACTGCTGTTGGCTACAAGGTGTGTGGACGCCAGTCATGGTGACTTCCACGTAGTTACAGTACCATCCATGGTGTGGACCCGAGCCATCCGAGGTTAAGTTCATGGCACATACAGGGGCAGCCAAGCAAGGTCCTCTACCTGAGAAAATGTCCAAATTACCCCTCTCAAAATAGTTGTGTCCTGCCTCCATCAACCCACCCCAGGCTTCAACGTTCCTGATCTCGATGTACTCGCCATAGACATCGTAGAGCCTTAGGCCGATGATGGAGTCCGTTCCGCCTTTGAAGATCGATCCAGTCCTTACGTAGACAGAGTAAACGCAATCTTCATCGGCCTGCATACAAGAAAAAGAGATCAGAGATAGTCAGATAGAGTTGTTAGAGATGGGGACATGGAGGAGATTACGGGGGTCGTTAAGGGGTACTTACGGAAACAACGATGGAAGAGAAGGAGATGAAGAGGAAGAAGGCGAACATCAGCAGCGTTGGGGTCGCCATGGGTTTAACCTTTTGAAGATCTATAAGAGAAATCAACATAGAGTTGTGTATAAATATGCAATTTTTGGATGGCACATGATCTTTTTATTGCCTTATTAGTGAGAACAGTGGATCCAATGATTTCTATATATTTTTCCTTTTTTTATTACATTAATTTGTTTTTAATTTTGTTAACAAATGTTATGAGAAAAAAATAAAAATGGTATAATTATATTTTATAAATAAATATTTTCGAGAGAAAATAGATATTTGTATAATACTTGAGATATTATTTACATTATTCATGTTCAAGCTAATGTGTTTATTCATATTATATGGAATGAATCAGAATTATATTAATAATGTAAATAAAAAATAAAGTAAAATAGGTATTAAGTATAATTAGATATAATATATAAAATAAAATAATTTATTTAATTATTTAAACTACCTTTTTAATTTTTATAAATATTACGTTCATTTTATCTAAACGCATTCATTATTTTTAAATTTTTTCTTTTACATTTAATTTAAGTAAAAAAATGTGTAAGCAATTAAACATTCATTTGACAACTATTTTAAAATGGAGGGAAATTAAATAATCTTTATTTCAAAATTACAATATTGTCCTTATAAGTGACAAGTGTGCGATGAGGAGAGCAGGTGATCGTTATCACGTGTGGGGTCAAACGTTATCTGGAGGTAGAAAATAGGAAAGCGATACGAGCGGAGGGACTGTAATGTAATTTTGAATTAAAAGTGATAATTATAGTTTTGGACCGTTCTTCTTTAATTGGAAGGACGTGGAAAATTGAATGGAAGAGCATATTCGAAGTGGAGCCGAAAGGTACCGTGTGAAACATGTGGTAGGGTAGGTGGCAGAATATTCAATGTGAGATTGCATCTTGGCCCTACATCAAGGACAGATGGATGGTGTCATCATCATTCAAAAAAGTAATTTTAGAAATTACAGATGGCCCAACGAGATTTGAGTATGAATCTAAACGAAGATTTTTTACGTTATAATTTAAGTTTAAATCCCATGAGTTAATATTTTTTACGTTTTCATCTTGAAATTCATATAAATTTATTAGTTTTTATTTGTTTTATTTAGATTTTTTATAAAAAAATTATAATTATAAGTAAGATTATTTATTTGGTTGATTCAATTGATTTCAAATTGAATCATTAAAAATTAAATTAATCAAATTAAATTATTTTATTTTTATTAATCAAATTAAATTTTTTAATTTTTAAAAATTAATTGATTGAAATTAAATCCATTGGTTTGATTAATTTTTTCGATTAAACGAATAATAAAATATATTAAGTTAAATTATATTTTAAATTTTAAATTTATCATATATGAAATAAATTAAATAAAATCATATCATAAAAATATTCAATACCAAAATATAAAGTTAAAAATTCTAATAACTTTAAATTAAATAAGCAATTTCATATATTTTTAGTTATACATATGTTTTATTATATTTTGATTAAATTTTTAATTAATTCAACTAATTCCATTTTCAAATCGAATTAATCAAAAATTAAAATTTTTTTAAAATAATTTTTTAAGATAAATTAATATAAATTCAGTAATCGACTGATTAATTAAATTAGATAAAATTGAATTATGAATATCTTTAATTATAAATGTTAAAATTTAAAATTATTAAATATTATTTTTTAAGAATAATTTTATAAATCAATTAAATTGATATTCGAATTTTATATTTGAATTTTTTTATAAAAGATTTTTTTATTGAAAATATTTTTTTGTACGGATTGTTATTTAGCGTAATGCATACCACAATATGGTTAAGAAACGACGAAGTCGAACTCAAATATCCAAAAATAGAGTCCTATCGTTTTGACCTAAAGAGGAAACGCCAATTATTTTCTTCATTAAAATTCCGTTACTCAAAAAAATGTGTTGTCTTTTCCAAATAGTAACCTTCTTTCACTCTAACCACAAAACCAACCAATCATCCTCAACGAAACCACCTCTTCCCATGCAAGCCCTAAATTTCTCCTCAACCTTCAATTTTTCCACCTTTGGCACCCAACCTTTTCTTTCGCACCGCATCTCCCCATGGAGGAGCGGGTCGCGTCTTCTGCCGGGGAACCTCGATTGCAGTCGTCAAGAGCCGAACCCACCCCCAACAACGACGACAATGACCTCTCCCTGCAGCTAGCTCGCCCTCCTACCCCACCATTGTCAACCTATGTTATCCAAGTCCCTAAAGATCAAATATATCGCGTTCCACCTCCCGAAAACGCCCGCATAGTAGAAAGTCACCGTCAGGCTGCAAAGGCGTCGGTGAAGAATAAGAAGAGACCATTTTCCAAGTACTTGATTGGGATTGCCATTCTTTTGGTTGTCATTGGTTTAATGATAGCCGTAACCCTAACTGTAATCTACCGTTCTTTTACCCCTAAAGCTCCCGTTTTCTCTGTTTCAAAGCTGAACGTCAAGCAACATAAAGATGGTAGTCCCCCTACCTACGATATCACATTGAAAGTCAAGAACCCTAATGAAAAGATGGGAATCAAATACGGGTCAGTTGAAGATGATGTGAAGCTAACATTCTGGAAGAAAACGCTTGGTGGGGGACAATTTCCAAGCTTTTATCAAAACGGGGGTGATTTGAACCTTGTTCATGTTAAACTAAATGGCCCCGAAGATCAAACGGTGCCACCTAATGTCCAGAGGAGTATGAACGACAAAAAACCAAAACATCAAATCTCTTTAGTGCTAAACTTCAATTCTCCATTGTTGCTCAACGTTTGGATATTCAAGATGTGGAGTAGAGACATGGATGTCAAATGTAATTTTAGGGTGAGCACCATGGGGAAAGGAACCAAAATTCTGAACCAACACTGTAAGACCAAATTGTCCCAATGATTGATCTCTAAGGTAATTAAAATGTGAAGCATTTATTTGTTTTAATTCTTATATTATTGGATTATTGCATTCGAAATAACTTCTATGTCAAAGAAAAAGTGGTCAGTATATTCATGGATTATTTTTATTATTTCATCCATTATAGCTGGAGGTTTTTACTGAATTAAAAGATTACCATATTTTTTATTATATTAGTTTCTTTTTTTTATTTTTTATTTTTTAACATATTCTAAAAGGGTAAGTGGAAATTCTTTAACATGGAATCTAAAAATTTCATTAGTTTAGTATATGAGATATATTGTTATTCCTTAACTGTAGTGAAGAGACTCATTGTCTTCTTCATTTTCTTCTTAATTTTATTTTCTAATGTTTGTTTTGCCTTTAAGTATGACCTCTTGAGATAGCTCTCCATGGAATTTTACCTTTTAAATTTTCTTTTCCTGTACTTTGATGTGATGAAGGATTTGAACTTCAAACTTTTTATTTGGACTAAAGTTGTGACAACAAATCCAGCTATAACTCATTAATGTTTGTTGCTTATTTATGTTCTGTTTATCTTTTAAATCTTAACCATGTACTAATTTTTCCCCTTGTATGGTTTTAGATGGGATTGAGATGTTTGATCAATCTAGCTTTGCATTTTTGGAGCTGTTTATGATTGGCTTTCCATGCATAAGATTTATATATATATATATATATATATAAAGAGTTTTAACTATGGAGAATGGAAAATTTGCAGAAATTTTGAAAGTGCAAAGTGAAATTGAGAAAGCTCCTCTAAGGAGGAAAGAGATGACTAAGGCTCCATTTTATAAACGCTTTTATTCTTTTTTAACAAAAAATGAATGGAAAAGAAAAGGCAAAAATAAAATTTGAAAAGAAAACTAAAAACAATAGTAGAAAAAAGTAAAATCATTCACCAAAGATAACCTAAGAGATTCCAAAATGTATTAGTTTTAACTTTAAAAAAAATACAATATACAAATAAAAAAGATACACATTTGTATGCATAATTATTTGTGATGGTATTTTTGAAAAATATAAGAATAAGATGGCTTTTTTTATTTGATATATATATATATATATGTGTGTGTGTGTGTGTGTGTGTGTGTGTGTGTGTGTGTTTATATGTGTATAATCTTTTTCTTAAAAAAAAAAAAAGACAATTTGAGTTTATTTCTTTAAACAAGAGCCAAATTCCAACATTGGTTAAAATATAGATCAACCAAAGTTTTTAAGGTTTTATTTGAGGCCCAATTATCAGATTACATTGAAAGATAAAAAAGAAGCCCCTTGCTTCAGCATTGTGGGCCAAAATTTCCAAAAGCCGAATTGTCCAACACATTAACCCAATTAATAGTATTACTATAGGCTGCAGATAATTTGTTGTAAAAAAAAAAAAAGGAGGGGGGGGGGGGGGTTGGTTTAGTGGTAAATATGAAGTTTTAGAATCTTAAATTTTATATTTAAGTTTAATTGTGTGTGGGTTTAATTAAATTTTATTTTAGATTTGTTTAGTTATATTTTTATTTGTTGATTGATTTGTTTATTTGATTATTAAGTGATTTTTTTATATATAGATGTAATTTTTAATTATAATTATAAATTGTACTTTTAATTTTTTAAAAAATAAAATAGGAAATTTCAGAGCAAGTGTCTAATTAATCAGCCCCAAGCATGCTTGACTTAATATGCCAAGTTGTAATATTTAAATTAATGGTGAATTTTGCACATGCCAATTCCAAAATTTTAATTTTCCTATGCTTGACTGACCCATTTTTAATGCCCTTCTATAAATTGTTTATTTATGGGACAATGACACCCAAAAAAAAAAAATAATTAATTGTTGAAATTCATAATCCCTGTGATTACTTTCATATGTTATAAATTAAGTTATGTTATTGCAATAATTTATTATTTTCTATCCAAAATCACTGCAATATGTTCAAAAAATATAGCAGATAGGGGGCTGGGAGGGGCCATGGTCCTCCCAAAATTATTTTTACACCATTATAGTAAAATATTTCATCCCATTAAAAATAATATTCAATCTCTTTTTTTTCCAGTAAAATTCTTGTTTGACTCATCTTTTTTCATATATCTGGCTTCGTCTCTCGCTACGAACGCATGAATGAAACCAGGAAATGAACAGAAATTTGGACATATTTGCATTTCCCTTGCTCCAATGTCATGTGATCACGTCATTTTCCCCAGATAGAACAATAATTGTATATAGGCCAGGGAGTACTGTATATTTTTCAATTAAACAAAAGCAGGTGGCCTTAAAAGTTGATATATGTGGTACTTTAAAAGAGTGTTGGATTAAAGGTGGAAAACTTTAAAAAGAGCATTTAACTCTTATGTACACAACAAATCGAGATAGGAAACTTTAGAAACAGCCTTTCTTTCTCTTTTTCTTCTGCATAATATTTAATCTGCTTTATCACTGACTAGTAATTATGGAAGTTTAGAAAGCAGTCCATTCCACCTTTTTTTTTTTTTTTTGGTTACATGCACTTGCACATGGTTAGTTTGGAAACAATTTTTTGCCCTTCTTTAAGGGGTTCAATGTTTAATTTTTAAAATCACAATATTTTTTTTTCTTTTCTGTTTCTTTAATATTCCTATAGCTCATGCTTTAACAAAGTAAAAGTTAGATTAAATTATTCCATTTATTTGCATTACTTTTTTCCAATCCAAAGTTTCTTCGAACTTGCAAACACTTGCAATCACCACAAGAATTAAAAATCGTGTATGTATGTATGTATATATATATAAAGCAGCTTGGGGAAAGAAGAAAAAGGTAGATGAAAGAAAAAGAAAAATTTTATTCTAGTTTTCTGTTATATAACAAAAAATTTTCATGCCTATTGAAGTAGTTAGTAATTACCTTAAAGCAAGAAGTATACTTTTGTTTGTTATCTCCACCTGTTTTCATTTCATTTCCTTTCATGTATGTTATGTCAAAGAATTGAACCAGAACTCTTTTACACGTTGTCACGTTCCCCATATGCATTTTCTTCGACTCAAAATATATGCTTTTCTTTGCTTACAAAATGAAAACCCTACCAATGACCTATCAACACATTAACAATTATTCATCTCCTTTTCTATCATCAATCTCTTTCGTGGCTTCATCTACGGTATCGTGCTGACAGAGTAAAGGACCCAATTTCCACATTGGCACTTCTCATTTGTTCCCCATAACAGAAGCATCTGGGTCACATTATCAGAATCCATGTGAGACCAAGAGTTGGGCACATGCGGCCAATTGTACAATGATCATGATGATATTCAGCCCTCATTTGCAATTACATAGACATATATATATATATATGGTACATTTCAAGACAAAACATACTGTCATGGCTCGAACCTCAAGACGGGAACCAATTCTCGAACACATAACACGTGTTGCAAATCTTTTTTAATTTTTTATGTATTGCCAAGTATTTGACACGTATCGCTACAGGACCAGTCCCCCCCTCCATCGATCCAACATGAACTCTGACAACTCCATATGCACCAAAGGTTCCTCTCCCATGCCAGGTTATGAATATGAATCTAGCTCTATATCAAAACAATATATCGAAAGTAATATACATGTATCACCATTTATAACTAGTATGGCCTAGTTGTTTAGTTGTTCATAGCGAAGAGTATGTATTTGGGATAATGTTAAATGCACTTCAAAGTTTTACCAGGCTCCTACCTCTCACACTTCTATTTAATGATGGTTCGTGAATGCAGGCAAATGGCGATTTAAATGCGACAATAATTAATCAGGTCAAGTTCTTCAATTGACTTCATTCTACAATAGAAATTTGAGTAGAGAATGAGAGAAGCATGGGGGAGAGGTGTCTCCTTTTTGAGGCTTTACCAATAATTGAGGCTTTACCAAGACTTTGTTTAATTCAGTTAAGGCACCAATCATGAAGTGGGCTCCTATCTTTCCACGCACCAAAGAGCCGACGTTGTCAAAAAAAAAGAAAGCTTGGTAACCTTGTTAATGTCCTTACTCAAAATATCAATAACGTGTTATATTTTTTTTCGAATAAAGAAAGCGCTTTAAGTGGATTCCAACTCCTCATTCAACCATAGATTTCCAACCTTAGTGGTGGGTTTCCCTTTCAAAAACCTAACCAAAAAGATTATTATCCATTTCTTCTTTCATAACAAAGAGAGCCTTCAAATGAAAACAAATTATGAATGAGAAGGTTCCTTTGCTCTCTCCTCTTTTGTGGGGTTCCTCCAAATCTAAGTACCCAATGGGTCAGGCCTGTTCTTCTGTTTGTGAGCAATGGCTATAATTCCTTCCGTACATAGAGACTAATTATATATTTCATAAGCTAATACGACTCTACATTGTTTGGTGAGGTTTCAAGAGGGATCATCCATGTTTCTACTCTTCCTCCAATGGAGTTTCCAATATATGTTTCTTGTTTCAAGAACATCGGCCCAGCTTTTCGAGTGTCAATCTATTGGCTATACTAGCGGTCAATTCAAATAATTTGTGTTTTATGAATTTTAATATCTACTTTGCTAGGTATCCTATTGTCATGCCAACTCAATTCTTTTGTTTATAAATCAAAGAGTATCCCCTAAGGCATATCAGGATTATCCTCTCTAACCTTTTCTTTATAATATCTCTCCCATGTCTGAGAAAAGGGTGTCTGTGTCAAAATTGAGGCAGCTCCTAATAATAACATTGGGACAAGCAAAATAGATTAATCTCGACATGTATAGTATACTTCATAAATGCCGATATAGTGTCAATAACTGTGTGATTTATTTATAGAACGTTAAAATTTTAGTTTCAATTATCAAGATTTAAATTTAGATAATTTTAAATTAAAAAAATGTGAATATTGTACCTTTCATTTATCTATGATTTGAAATTTGAATACTTTTCTTTTCCAATAATAAAAAGCCTTTAGTAACTTCAGGATATTTATTTCATTGTAAAGGATATGACTATTGATTGACCTCATCAAACTTTGGGTTAGATATTAACATATTTATGAGGACAATTTGTAAAAGCTTCTTCTATAGTATAGAAATCATCTCATGGATCTGCCAAGAATGCAGACTTACAGTTTATTCCCTTTGTTTTGCAACAATTATTGATCTAACAAAACATTGAGAACAGGAAAACGTGTCTCAAGTACTTCACTGTATCAAATTGCACATGAATGCAAGATTTTATTAGCATTGACCAAAGTTATTTGTTTCTACATATGGTTCATTATCCCATACATTTTTACTCTCTTTAAATCCCATGCTGCAAGGAAAGGAAACAAAAAGAGAATCAACTGGAATACCGGATGGTATCTGAATTATTACTTGTTTGATTTAAATAAAAGAAGAAAAACTGTGTCTTGGTAAGGTGAAGCAAGCACTTGCTGTTAAAGGAGAGAAACCTTTTCCAATATCTACCTCATAAACTTATCCTTTTGACTCAGCAGATATACAGTTTCAAGTTTAAAAAAAAAAAAAGGATATTTGATCTAGAAAATGGGGCCTGCACACTGCCAAATCTTCCCTGACACAATCATAAATTGCTGTGATTATTTTATCTCCAATACTATTTTGATCCATCCCTTAAGCTGCAAAGGAGAAAAAAGATCAGTTGGTCCTTTTGCTACTTGGCTAGCATCCTATAATGTTGGTTGCATGGGATATGCCATTGAATCTGTACTGGAATATTGCATGCAGATTCATAGGCTTTCTGTTTGATCAATAAATAATAATACCAGGAACAGAAATGCAGACTTAAAATATCACAATTATCGAGGATTTTTTTACTTTCCAAAACAGTTGTAAATTGTATAAGATCAATAATGGAGGAATATAAAAGCTAGCTAAACCATAAGCTATGTTGTGTTGTGTCAAAAGACGATACCCTTTTCTCGATTCCCTATAAATGACAGAAAATTTTGCTTTTGAAGGTAAGGCATTGCTTTTTCCTCCCTAAACAGATAAATTATTGATCATTAATTTGATCTCCATCATCATTTATCCTATCAATAATAATTTTGGTGTAGCTCTAATATAGGAGAGTAATGGGGGGAAGTGATGAGAGTGTTCTGGAGACCATATCCGAATCTAGTCTGTATTTCAGACCAAAATCAGAACCTGGAATATTCTTCCTACCTTTTCCTTTTGAAAATGCTGATGCAAGAGATTCTTGCTAACAAGTTTCTGACAGACCCCTCCTTCCCTGGTGGATGTATGTATCATGTATGTAACCTGTGGAGTTGAGTTAAAGAAGGCTGTGAATCTAAAAGGTGGCAACACCTAAAGGCCAAAATGATTCACAATCAATTATATGTACAGATGCAATAATAATGCAACAATTCAGTGGCTGCTCTATCAATTTGTTACCTTCAAAAAGAACTTTCAAGGGACAATATCTTCCACACGCTCAAATAGTGCAACCTGGTTTTGGCTTAGTCGTGGAATGTGCTAGCTTTTTTGGTAGCTCCTAGTAGCAGTTGTCCTCCAAACCAGTAATGAAGTGACAGAAGGCAGAGTAAAGTTCTTAAAAATTAATAATATATAGTATACATATATATATATATATATATATATATAATGTATTTACAGGCATGGCTGGATGGGAGATGGGGTTTGAACCTGCTATTGAAAAAAAGAAACTAAGACACAAAAATGGAAGCTTATACATACGTTTAACTCACTCTTTTTTGTTCTCTTCTTGAGTTAACAAAAACAAAGCAATAACTTAAATGAACAAAGCAATAACTTAAATGAAATACATGCAGACTAAATGAAATTTAGCTACAAATACGGCATGTGGTGTATCAGACATTTTAAACGTGGTAACAGATGCATTGATAAGATTGAATAACTAATTAAATAATTTTGTGGAACAGACATAACTTAAACATTGATTGTATCACATCAAAATCAAATTTTCAAAGGGAAAAATTTTCACAGGTTCTGAATCTGCCCTAACAATATCCTACCACTATAAAAAATTGGATTCATCATAGTTACATTTATAGTCAAAATGAAAATACTTTCGTTTTTTGTGTATTGGGTTCATTGCAGTCATCTTTAAAGTCAATTGTTAATGAGAGGAAACGGAGACAGAAAGAGAGAAACTTTCTATGCATTAATAGACAAGGTTGTCAAGCTACAAATCTTTATCTTGTACCCAGCTAGTTACAAGATTTACAAGGCCTTCAAGCCAAAAGACAGGATTATGTATTAATCATTTTTCTCTTCTTGTTCATCTTTCCTTATCTTGAACAAGAATTTACTACATAATCTAGTTCCACCTTTCTACATTTCTTGCAAGGGTGGACAAATATTTTTCCATATCTTCTTATCATTACATTCTGGATTGAGCTCGAGCTTGCACGGATAATTGTTTCCATTCAACTAGACGCCGTAAAAAATCCATGACCTGTTAAAAGATTCAAAAATTACGATTAAGTTACAAAAACAATAGGAAATTATAGTAGGAAAAAAAAATAATTGTGTTAGTTTGGAACTTACTTCATCTGGTTCTTGTAAAGAATATGATGCACTGGTCTCCTTGGGAAATTTGGACACAAGAATACCAAAACCCTGTCCTCTGTCTCTCAATATCTAAAAACAATGAAGATCAAAGCATTAGCAAGATCCACTAGTTTAAAAAAAAAAGATTAAAGAGATGCCTTGGCTTTGATTTTGAGAATTGGATACCTTAAATGCATCTTCATCGGTGCGGTCATCCCCAATGTACACGGGAAAAACATCGGTACAGTTAGCAAATCCTAGACAAAGATATTTATAATAATGGTTAGTGATTAGAGATAATCATGTCACCACTTTATGGTTTTCCAAGTTTGGATTTATATATATGTGCAGACACGAAGTGCACACGTTCAACAATCAAACATGTAAAAAAGAACAAATTTACTCGGTATTAAGTAAAACTTACCAAGAGATTCTAACAAAAATTCAAGGGCTTTCCCTTTGTCCCATTTAATTGTAGGACGGATTTCTAAAACCTGCATCATACCAATAGCATTCAAAGTCAGACATCTCTTACTTAAACCTATCTATGAATTTCATCAAAGTTAAAAAAAATGATCAGATTGTATCCTAGCTCCTACCTTTCTGCCTTGGGTTAGCCGGAGCTTGGGGTACTCCTTTAAAACTGACCTAACCTGCTGTGCCAGTTCACTCCATTTCTGTATTTTTAAAGCAAACAGTCAGACGCTTTTAAATTAGTTATGATAAGACAAAAATAATAGTAATTGCTATTGGCTTTGACCTTTTCATCAACACAACGAAAGTGTACAGAAAGACAAAACTTGTTATTCTCCACCTTAGCTCCTGGAGTTGATTTGGTAGTCTCAACCAATTGTTTGTAAACCTGGAAAGTTCATCAAAACAAAAATGCCAAATATTATTTGAAGCTCTTTGCTTTAATTTCCATTGAGTGATGAATTAATCAAGATTGTGAAGAAGACCAACCTCATCAATCATGGGAAGAAATTCACTAGCTGGTTGGAAGAGAACAGATTCATTATCCTGGAGAGTAAAAGCACAGGAAAAACAAGGAGAAGAGTTAGGAAAAGTTGAGGTTTTTTACCATTTGGTGAAAGTACTAATGCAGCTCACTTACTTTGGTAGATTTGGAACGTTTCTCTGGCCCTTTAATGTCCATGCCATGACTACCAGCGTAGTACAGCTCAGCCAATTTGACAAATTTATACACCTATAATTTGAAAAACAAGGAAACAGTTACAAATTGTGAAAACATAAATGGACAAAAGGAAAACAAAAAGTGACTGCCTATTCTCAAGATTTTCAGTATCCAATTTTGTTTTGAAAAAATTAAGGCCTGAAAATGTACCTTGTCTCTGCATCTGCCACTCACTATAGCAGTGGGGAAACACTTGGCAAGCTTTCTCACAGTCTTTCTCATCTGGTTTACACAAACCTGAAAAGTTACTAACTGAAAACTATTGATGGAAACAACCCAAACACAGTTCCATATAAACAAATAGCCAACCTTCTTGGACATGAAAGCTCGATCAGGATCCTCAACAATTGGTGAAAGAGTGCCATCGTAATCAAGAAACATTGCTATTTGTTTCCCTTTTGATGCTTCTATTATCTGCTCAAACATCTCCAGGGCAGATGGATGGTGTAACTGGAAATTTTCATCAACCATAAAAGTCAGATGTCTAATTGTCTAATACCAAGAACACCAGCCAGAAGAAAAACCTTTGTTGAAGGCTTGCAATGGCTTAGCACTTACATTCCAGGAACCTTGGTCATCAGAAAGGGAAGGTGTGGATTTTATATGAGTAGGAGAAGAAGCTCTCATGGAATCAACCCATGCATTAACTCTTGCTCCAGTATTAATTTCAAGGTTTTGAAGCAACTTCTTTCTTGAAATGGAGATATATCCATGAGGCGCTGGCGGTTTTTGTGCTGATACGGTTACTGTGATTGACATGTTGAGGACAGCTTTTCCATCATTGAACACATTCTGACCAGCACCCATATTCTTTGATCTTTCTTCAAAGAAATTCACTACAAGAAAAACAACCCACATCAACATTTTTAGTTAAATTATCAACAAAAAGAAAAAGGCCGCAGTTTTTAATATGCCTCCAAAATCCAAAAACAAAAACTTACCCATTTGTGGAAATTAAGTTAGTTAAAAGAACACCTCAAACTCAACAAGTGTTTGGATGTTAATGTTAAGGTAAGAGGAAGAGAGTTCAAACTTCAAACAGAGGAGTTTTACAGAGTACTCTGTTGATTTTGTCCTGTTGAAGCCCGAGGATTAAGGAAGTGAAACCAAATTGAAAGAATAAAAAAGTCTAACAAAAGATTTGTCAAACAAGGAAGAAAAAATAGATTGAGAAATTATGGAGAGAGCCAAAGCGAGAAGAGAATGTAAGTGAGAGAGACAGAAAGGATTGAAGCCATTTTATAGCAAAACCATACACTAACGGACGAAACCGGTAGTACTCCAGTATGCTACGCCAATGCCCCCCCTCTCCCAAACTCTTATAAACCTGGGACCACCAAAGCTATAGTCTCACCGTCCTGTCGCGTCTAAGATTGTAAATAAGACATCTATATTCATAAATTATTAACATTCGATTATCACAAAACCCGAATTCAATCCAATAATTATCAAATCAAACTCAAACAATTTAATTTATTAAACAAATCAAATTTAAAAGTTTTAATATTTTATTTAAGTTATTTGTAAATTTAATTTTATTCATATAAAATCAATTCAAATTTAAATTTAAATACAAAAATTGAATTTAAATTAAATAAATTTAAATAATTTAATATTTATTTTAAATCAATTTTAAATAAATTTTAAATAATAAATTTTGAATCAAATTTTAATTTTTTATTATATCATATTCACTTTGACTGGATTAAAATTATATTCCCTCGGCTCCCAAAGCCGTAGATATCAATAATATAAACTAAAGGAAAAATATTAATTATAATAATAATAATAATAATAATAATATTTTACAGAAACTTAGCAATTCCCACGCTTTTTTTGTTAAACAGCCGTCTTTAGCAGTCACAGAACTGCGAAGTAAGAGGCTTTCCAACAGGCAGCTATTGCTAGCAGTTATGCCACGTGGAAGACATTGGTCGGTTGACTCCCATTGTGGACTCTGCCACGTGTAAACCAAGTCACATGTTAGACCCACGGGTTTATGGGAGCTGTTTCACTATTTCCTTAAATTGGATCCTAATGGGAGGATTTTGGATCATCCACCAACTTGTTCTGGTAGCTTAAATGATCCATCAAGGAGCTCCATTTTCCTATAATGGAAATGTTTGGCACTTTAATTTTTTTGCTCTGTCAACGCCCCTTGTAATCTAATTGCAAAGCTAACAACGCAAAAACCTTACTCTGTTAAAGCAAAAACCACCTGCCACATCTGCTAATACAAGTATCCCCCCCATTTTTTTTCAAAAATTTATTATGTTTTTACGAGTCTAATAAGAACAATAGTAAATGTTAAAATTTAAATTAATATTTTAAAATAATTATATTTTTCAAACCAATAAATTTATTCATATTTGTCGCCTAGCTTACAAATTGTACAACGATTAGGATAGGGAAAATTAAAGATGTAAATAAATAAAATTTTTGATAGAGAATATTTTTTATTTTATTCATTTATATTTATTTATTAAGTTTAATAAATAATATTAAATAATATTTTTATATTTGTTTATTGAATAAATTGAATATAAATAAATATTTGTTCAGTTCTTTTATTTTCATAAATAAACATGTTTAAAATTTATTTATTTATTATTCATTTGATATTTGTTTACTGTTCATTTATAATAATATTAACAAAATCATATTTTTATCTTTCATTTTAATTTTATTTTAACGTTCATTTATGTTCAACCGAATTCATTTATATTCATTTAAGGTTTGTTTATTTAAATTTAATTGAACTGAATACCAATAAAATACAAACATCTTATTATTTAAATGAATCAAATTCGAACGAATAGAATAATTTTATTATCAAATATGAACCAAACTTGAATATAATTTTCTTACTAAATATGAATCAAACTTGAACATTTTTAAGAATAAACAAACAAATTATAACATATGTTTGTTTATATTCAATTCATTTATAACCCTAAACTCTTTAAGAAGTTCGGTAAATTTAGTCAATAATTTAGTTAACTCATCATTTTTGCAATCTTTTTATAGTCATTTCATTTTTGTTTTGTTTCAATGATAAGAAAGAGATTTTTGAAAATTTAAACCTAAAATCCGTTGAATTTATCTAATTATTGTTTGGTCTTATTGATTGATTTATTTATTTTGATATTAAATCTTTATAAAGATTTTATATTTAATATAGCACTTTAAACGTGACTTAATAAAAAAAAAATTTACTTGGGATACCTATGATTTCAACCTCCCTTAATCCTAACCCTAATTTCTAGGCAAAACACCAATCACATTGGGATCTGCAAAGCTTTCGAGCCCCACACTAAACCTCATTTATTGGCTAATCGATCACCAATCGTATTAGTTTGTAATACATTTTTTATTGGGTATTTAATTTTGTAATTAAAATGCTAGTTAACATCCTTGCATTTTACTTAATGGTTGATTAACCCATCAAAAAATAGGATCTATTCCTTTCTTTTTCAACAAAAAAAATGTTAAGCTTTTGGTTTTACATCCAATTATGTTTTTGGTATGTGCTAAATTTAATCAAGTTGTTGTCTAATCAGGGATATAAATCACTGTTAATGTTGCATGACTACTATTGAATGAATATTATATTTTTTTAGAACTAATGAATCTCAAATAATTGTGAGATAAGCAGAGACTATCCTATTCCATGATCAAGGCATGCTAGATCTCAAGAAAAATTTGTATTAAACTTATTGATCGTTCATAAAAAAAAATTGCTCATAAAAATAATTGAATCTAAATTTTACAAATGAAATATTGAATTCTTATCAATTTAACTAATTTTATCGCATTCGATTCTTCAATTTAATTAATCTTAAAAGCATTTTTTATTGCAAAAGAAGCATATCTTGAAAAGATTTTTAGTTTGGATTTGCAAATCAAATTTTTAAATTGAAAAGTTATTTTTTTAGAATAAAAACCATAATTTTTTTGTTGTTTATGATTAAAGTTAGGTTAAAAGTAGTTTTTGAACAAAAAAATTATTTTTAAAAACAATTCTATTAAATTTAAATAAAATTTACATGTAAAAGATTATTTTTGTTTAAAAAAATGAGAATAGAATCTCCAGACCATTGACTGGAGCAATCAAAGAAAACCCATTATTTTGTTAAATATAAGAGATTCTCATATTATATGGTCGTTGGATTTAGAATTTTTCACATGCAAAGGCTGATCATATTATTTGAGCTTTTAAGAGATCTCTTTTTTTTAAAAAAATTACACTTATAATCAAGTACAGCATTTATATAATCAATTAATTACTGAATAATTCATTAATAAATTATAATTTAATTAAATAATTAAATCCACATGTAATAAAATTTGAACTTAAAACCTTAAGATTCTAAAGCCTCCTCTTTATCACTAAACCAAAGTCTCGTTGGCAATAATTTTTAAGAGAACTTTCGGTCATATACATATATGCTTTAGGGATCAAAAAGAGGAAACGAACAAGAAGAAAAACTTATAAAGAAATCCTTTCTTAATCAAAAGCTGAATCCCATGTTCTTTGCCCAAATATTCGTCTTTTAATCCTTTCTTTGTCCTATGTTTTAAGTTAATACTCTCTTAATTTTTTTAAAAATTTGACTATCTTCCTTGTAATTTCGCTTGCTAATGACATACACATGTAAAATATTATGTAAAAAATCGAATTCCATCATCGACATTCAATGTAATGCTAATTATGGTCAAGTCTAGAAAGCATATTTAAATTTAATTCGATCACTTTTTTATTCTAACGATGGTTTAAATGAATTTAATTAATTACTTCAAAAGTGAAGAGATTGAAATGAATTTAATTAAATTTCATTACTGTTGAAAAATCCAATAAAATAATCTCTAACAAATTAATCTCTTAAATTACGATATCAATAGTGTTAGTTTGTGATTTATTATTTATCAATTAATTGATCTAAATCAATGGTTAAAAAAATAATTTTTTAAATTTCACAAACTAAATTAAAAAAAAAAACTAATAAAAGTTTTATAAGGGGCGAATTACACCAAAAATTATTATTTTTTTAAAGTAAAAAATTCTTATTTTTTCCTAAATAGATCTCACCATTAATTTATTTTTTAATTGTAATAAACAGTGGAAAATAAAAATGCTAGGCGTCTACCCAACAAGAAACATCCATGGATTCCCCGATAAAACCCAGAAACCGAACGTGCGGCATGTGTTTCGTGCAAACCACTCGTTTGTCGACCCTTCGGGCAAAGTATGGGCTTTGGCCTATCTCAGCCTCAGGGACAATAGCCACGAAGGTTGTTGTGTTCGAAGGTCGACACCGCACGTGTTCCTAAGGGCATCTCCTCTTTTGTTCTCACTTTTTACCCACGTGGCATCACTCAACGAACTGTAGAAGTTGATACGTTTGATCAAATGAAAGGGTCACATGGAAGAGGAACATCAAGCCACTGCCACTTCGATTGGTCGGAGGATTCCAGGTCTGGACTGAAGGGAATATCAAAACTACAGTAAAGTTAAATACATGAACAGTGAACATAACTCAAAGCTAAATCACATGCTCTCCAACAATGGCTGCTGCTTCTGCCGCTGGCTTTGATTGTGTCTTCTTGTTTTTGGACTTTTTTCTAACCTAAGAGAGAATAACAACAACAATAACAATTGTTTTTCATGCAGAAAATTAAATTGAACGAACCCGAATTTTTTTTTCATTCGTTTCTGCACAATTGCACGTGGCTTGCAATTGGATGATGTCAAGTTACATCTTCAAAACAAGTTTGTCTCTCCCTCTATATGATATATTACAAAAAAAAAAAAAAAGGACTGACCAAAACAGTGTGTAGGTTATTTTGTCCGCACCCTAGGCGATATTACAAGGTTTTGATGTTAATATGTTCATCGATACTTACCAAATCTTTTGACATTAACATGAAAAAATAAAATAAAAATGACATTGCGGGCAAGATATGCCAAATTTGGTGTCTATCAATCAAATTTGGCCTAAAAGCATTACTATTCACTGATGCCATCGTTGATAATTAGTGGTTTCAAGAATAAAAAAAGATAAAAAGAAAATTTTTAATTAAGCTTTAAATTTTTATAAAATAAAAATTTTGTGTCAGCTTTTTAATTTTTTAATATATTAATTTATTGTTGCTAACTATTAACAAGGAATATTTTGAATTTTTTGGGGTTAAAT